AATAGGTTAATTCAGGGAAGCTCTGTGTAAATAGTAATGCACATACTGTATACGTATCTGTGTTCTCTCACAGTTAGGCAGACAAGGTACAGTAGAGTCACCAGCGTGGAAGTGTAGAAGAACATTTTCAGAATTAAGGAAAAAAATAATAATTTATTTTCCCTTAATATTTGTATAAAAGATAGCATGGCGGCATAATGGTTAACATTTTTTGGACCCTGGGTTCAATTCCACATCTGGACTGCTCTCTGTGTGGAGATTTAGACATGTAGTTGTTATTTTTATTAAATGTGGTCCTAAGCAAAATCCTGATATTTATAGTTGGTGTCTGTTTTGGTCCTCCATGTTTGTACAGTAATATGGCATATTTTTAGGAAAGGGTCATAGTCAGGTTTGTAAAGCATGCTGTAAATGTAATAATAAGCAAAAGATTTATCTCTACATGAAGACTAGAGAGAGAGAGATTTACTCTCTGTTGAGCTGGTATGGGTTTTGTGTATTTCAGAATAGCATAAACTAGTACACATGAAGAAAGTGTGTGGAATTGTTGCTACCAGCAATAGAAGTTGTTATGCCCCTATTCTCAGACAGCTTTATCTAGCATACTGCAATATATAAGGAGTGTGTGAGGGAGTGAAACCAGCACTCTCAGCTGTCATGCCTCTCTTCTCTAGTGTTCTGTTTCGCAGACAACAGGAAAGCTGGCACTACAACTGTTTTATTTCTACATTGCACCCTCCTCCTCACAAGGTGGGGGTGGAAAACTCTTTAGACCATTAACTACACTAACAGTGATGAATGATGGATATTGTTTTTTATTTCCTTGGTCTTGATGACTTTAAAAAGCTACAGTACCACTGAAAAAACTGTTTGAAATTTAACATTGAGTTATATCAAGTTAGGAACTCTCAAATATCTTTATTAATTAAGAGTCATTATCTTTATGGTTAACATTACAAGTTAAAAGGATAATGAGTAAAGCTTTGTGTTTTTTACTTTGCAGTAGAATGGTTAGTACAAGCAAATTTGTTAAGTAAAGAACACCCTAATTATGCTCTACATTATCCTCAGAGATGTTGAGTTGCTCTGGATAAAATCAGTAACTATTTTATTTTAAATACAATTCTTTTGGTAGAAATAATAATGGTGAATGGACATATTAAACTCACCTTAAAATTGTATTCATTTTCCAAACAAAATAAAGCAAACTAAGTTGTGAAGATGCTTTTAAGTAATAGTTTTATTAGAGAGGGACACAGTTTGCACAAATTAGGTTGTATTAAAACAAAATGTCTAGATTCTTTGTTGAATCCCACTATGTTTTGCTGAGCACATTACAACACCAAATTAAAAAGCTGATGATTGATAGCAAGAAATTTGATGTGGTGATTCAACAAAGAATCCAGCCAAAAATTATTAAAATTGACCTTGAGTCCAACAAAGGATTTAAATAAAAGCCAATGGAGAAAATGTGTCTTTGGAGATTAGAAAACAGGTAAAAAGTGTTTTTTTTTTCAAGAAAAGAGCTGACCTATACATTTAAATATTTACAGTACGAGTCAAAATACTAATGAGTTAAGGAAATGTCCTATCTACATCCGTTGTAGTTGCACACTTAACTGACGCAATATATAAAAAGACGCATGATTACTAAATACTGTCAGTAAATTATTGTCGTTAATTGTAAAAGTATCAACTTTTCCAAATTGTGAAACACAATTGGTGATTTCTTACAGTGATGCATAATTTTAAATGTGATCCGAACAACTTTTATAGACCTACTGTGGACTAACATATTAGTCAGCCTCATCTCCTTTTTTATTGTTTTTGAAAACTACCTAAATAAACAATTTTTCTGTAAATGTATGCTGTAACTGTAAGAGCACATTGTAGAAAAGAAAACCACACAAAAAAAATTATAGGAACAGGAATATACACTCACGTTCAAATACAAAAATGCTTTTCTTTAAGCAGCTCTTACCCATTACAAGCTGAGTTTTCAGCGTTTATGTATTGTAGGTGTGTTTAATTTAATACAGACATTTTTTACAGTAGCTAAAGAATACTGTGCATGAAATCAAAAGTATTTTTGAAATATTCTGCAGTCACAAATAAGTGACTGGAAAAAAATGAATTTTTATGTTATACATAACCTTAAAATTATTGCAAAATCTTTTTTTATCAGGACCCTTCAGCAGTCCATCCCCAGCTGATTAGAAAGAAAATCCAATTACATTTCCCCAGATACTATTACTCAATGACTTTTAATAACTTAAACCTTATGTCCAACACATATTTTATTCATTTGTTGCATTCACTGTTTGCATTTATAATTTCCCAAACACTTTACAGTTTACTTTACATTACTTTACATTACATATATGTCACAAAATTCACCAAAAAAAGTAATTTTAAATACACAGACCACATCTTAGTATTTCACTGAAATTCATCAGCATTTGAAAACAGTGTGAATGGGACTTGATATTTTACAGGTGTTGGCAATCTCATACTCTCTCAAATCCAGGGACAGTATGTAGTCAGTAGTCTTGTCACAGATATGTCTATTTCTGGCTTCATAAAAGTAGATCAGGAGTCAGCAACCATAGTTTTGGAAAGCATAGTGTTACCTGTTTTTTGTTCCAGGTGAGCTCTGAAACACTTAATTAGATCAGTCAGTTGCCTAATTAGGAGGAATAAACATGTTTTTCAGATCTTTCCTTCTTGACTTACTGAGGCGGCCTATAAAACCTGCAGGTCTGTGGGTGTCCAGCACCAGAGCTGCAGGACATTTATCAAGGACGAAAGTGTTGGTCAATAAGATACAATGAATTGTACTGTTGTGTTTTGTGATTAAAGTTGCTTTCTAGCCATGAATCAAACAATCCTATTATTTTGTTATATAATTGCGTGTATTCTCAAATGCCATGTGCAATATACTGTAGTTGTGTGCCAATAAACCAAGGGTCAGGTTTATTAAGCATTCAGGTTTGTGGTGTTTATGGCATTTGTGAGTATTAGCCATATTTAGTTATCGGCTGAGCAGCTTCGATTGAAGCCAGAATTCTATTTCACAAGCAACTCACTAAGGAGAACATCTGAGAACCAAAGAAGTCCTTGTTCTTTGTTAATGTAACAGTCAGAGAACAATGGAAGTATAAAGCACTCTCTCCATCTCTTTTGGCTGACATCCAGATTTGCTCAGTAATGCATTCAGGTTGACCCTATTCGCTTTCCACATCATGAGGTTTCGTCCACCGTCCAGCTCCTGGGTGAATCATGCCTAAAGCTCGTGTTCTAATTGTTGATGAAAATGACATCTGGAAAACTGAGTTTATATATCCAGTGTCTAACAACTCCTGTGTGTGCAGACAAAAAAAAACAGAATCCAAAATAACAAATCCACTGGTAGCTGAATAAATATAGTAGGTAGATATGACTATTTTATCTGTTTTCATTTGTTTGAAAATAGTTCCGGTTTGTTTAGTCTGAATGACCCCTCATTTAAAGAGAATTTGCATAGAATACACATATGTTAATTTCTATCAAAAATAGAATATTTTGGTTTAAATTTGTTAAACAATGTAGTCCACAACATTAATATTCTCTTAAAAACTTTTTTTTTAGAAAACCCAGCTGGTGTGTTTATTTCTGGTTGTCTTTTGTTGTCTTTTCTAAGGACACTAACAAATAGGGTGCATTTTAGAAATTCAAGATTTTTGTTTCAAAATTTAAAACTTTAAAGCATTTTCTATCTTTGTATAGCTTGCTAAATTCGTAAACGAAACAAAAACTCTTCATGCTGGTGTTGTGTTTCCAAGAAAGAGAGATTCTTATTTTCTATTTTCCTTCTCTGTAATTTCACAGCTGGCACAGTATTCATGATGAAATACAGTGATGTAGTGTAATATCCCTTTGATTCATGTCAAAACTCACTGAACTGCACGTAGACACTGGCTCCTCACTGAAAACCACTGTTAGCCGTTAAACTGTAGGCATGAATCAGCAATGAAACGCATCTGAACTATGTTAGAAATTCCAGCATACTAAACAGAATGCAAGTGCTTTCGGCACTTGGACTCACTTAGACTTGGTTATTTTTTTATATTAATGCAAAAATAATTTTAAATTAAAAGTAATGATAATAAAATTAATGTTAAGATATGTATTCTGGACATGTTTTGTTTTACTTGTAGTTAAAATAAATTGTGCTTTTGCTCTATTTGCTCTCACTGTTAAGAGAGGTATCTTAAGAGTAATTCCCTTCACAGTGTGCCAGGACAGTGATGATAATCCAGAATTGTAAATAGGACTGGACTGCACACCTCTTCAAGGTAACAGTTTAAATTCACTTAAATCATAATTAGTTTACTTATAAATGCCTTTCATCAGAAGTTTGTAATTAAATAGTTTACACTAACTTATTACATATTTCTATCAGGAAAGGTAAAATTTAGGCAGGGGTCACTAGCTTTATTTACTAAATACCTTTCTTTTCTAGGTTGCATGTTAACTGATCCACACCAGTAAGTGGCAGTTTAAGACAACCTAGTCAAAGATTTTTTCTTCACAGCTGACAAGAAATCCTTATTGTTTCTGATTTTATTAAAATTGTATTATATTCTTTGGTTGTCTATTTAAAGTACTCTGACAGTGGTTTATAAAATGGTTTTAGTATTCATCTGACTAAAATTATATATAAAAGACAAATTGTGATACAAAATAAAGTGTAATTCTGAATGTTTGTGAGGAAACAAAATCAAACCTTGCCATCAAATATCAGAAAAATCAGGGACAAAATAATTATTTGGAGATGCCTTTTGTGAAGATGTTTTAAATTCAATATTTAAGTAAACTGTCTTAAACATTAGCTCTGTCTTTACAAAAAATACATTTCGACAAACACTCCGAAAAAAAGTATTTATCAAATGACACTGTTGCTGTGCTTCTGAAGGAGAAAAAAGAAGAATTGAAAACGAGGAATCAAATGGTCAGCTTACCTTTATGGTGCTCCTTACTTTCTTTTTCAACACTGCTGTCTTCTTCTGATGATGAAGTTGATGACACTACTATAGTCAGGAAAAGAAGAGTTTGTAGGATAAAGACTAGGAAAACTTTACCTAGCATCTTAATTACTACCTCTTGGAATAGCCCTCTAAGTCCAGCAGGAGTCTTCAATCAGTGCCTGCAAAACTCCACTCCTATGTACAGAGTTGCAGCAATGAGTCAGTAACAAATCACCCTTGTGTAATTTAAAGGCTGCAAACAGGTAAATGACACTGCTGTCACCAATCACAAACAGGCAACCTCTGAAGGTGCCCACAATGTCTTGTGTTTAAAAAGGCTAACTGCAGTCTAATCTAATCCTGTTGTCTAGTAGAGCTACACTTGCTCTTTAAGTTTTTTCTTCATTCAGAACAAAGTCCGGTGCTCTGTGTAGTGTGAAGGGGTGTGATTTGTTTAAAGGTTTTAAAGATTTCTGAGTATCACTGAACCTCAAACATGTCATTAAATCTCCCAGTATGCACTACTGTCCAGATTCTAGAATTTCAAAAAAGAAGGAAAAGATGCATTCTGTAGAAGCTATGTCCGTCCTACAATTTTTGAGTTAATCGTTTATGTTTGTTTTAGCTTTAACTCCCGCAGGTATTTTTTTATTACAGAGAAAAAAAATGTTTTGTTTTCATTGAAGAGATCTTGTCTAGCATCTTCATTAAATAGAGTTAAATACAGGTCCACATGATTAAAGCAGCTTTGCTACAGCAATATTTTATATACTGTATATACCCATCTAACATTTTCACATTTAAATTTCACAATAAAAAGTGCCTTCATAGTCCCTCTCACAATTTTCCTCACAATATCTGAGAAAGATTAGAAAAATAAAAAAAAAACATTCAAATTAGAATGGGTTATCAGCACATTGAAAAGCTGGGTATATCATTTGTTGTAACTAAGGCTGAGGAAATGTGTAACTCTGCTGATATACTGTGGTGTATCAATTGATCTCTTATGAATATCAAAAGTGTGCATGAATTGTTCTGTGTGTAAAAGTATAATTCAAAGATGACTTTGTGGGATCAAAGACTCCTGCTGCATTTCTATCTTGAGTCAATCACTCTGTGTAATTCACATATACATTTGCAAGTCATACAATGAATTGATTCACAGTAATGCACAGCTCCACATTTTAATGTCTTTATTTAATTCTAAGCACTTACTGTATTTAATTACTCAATGTATTGATTTTTAAAGATAACATTAATATCAAGAGCAAAACCCAAGGCATTTCACCATTTACAGTATGTTTGTAAAATTGACACATGCTCTAAAGCTGAGATTTAAAATCCCCATAAAGAAAGTATGAAATTGCAGTTGTAAGCTAGGAGGAGCTTATCAAATGAGAAGTGGACCTAACAGGGGGAGTGTTCCCTTAGGTCTTCACCCTCCTTGTGTGACACAGAAGATTGCAGCTGGAAAGTTTTAAAACTGGATGGATATAAAGTCCGGGAGTGGAGCAAGTGGCAATTTCATTGTTATTTTTGTAAAAAGGTACACCATAATATTTAATTGGGAAAATGATACAGCCACAGATTCCTGACATTGTTTTACACTGGTCTTGAGGCTCATAAGCATGGTTGACCACAGGGTGAAGAAAGATATAAGATGTGAAAAAGGGGTTAGCTGATTTCTTTCTGCACAAAGACTTTTTGTGACACAAGACATTCCAGGCTTAAGCACCTTTGAGTTATGGCTGGGAGGGGAGTTAACTGATAAGAGATTCTAAGTGCAAGATAGAGACCCCCT